GGATGATGCGGTACTCATCTACTTCTTTCTTTGGAACAGTTCCAATAGGAGAGATCCTCAGGTTTGGTAAAGGTGGGTTATGATATGGACCGGCCATTCGGCCTTATTGTACTTCATTGGAAAGTTTCCCAAGTATGATTTGTTCCATATTGGGATCTTGAGCTGATTTTAGGTTATTACAAACTAAACTGGCCTCTCTGGGTCCTGTGTAATGTAAATGAAATCCTTCGGTGAAACCGCAATGAAGAACACCGGCATCACTTAACAATGGGTAGGACTCCAGGTATGCTAATAGCTTATCTACTTTGATAGGTGTGTGGCCCAATGTTTGCACGTTTTGGGAGGTTTCTGTTGCGAAACTGAAATGTATTAACCTCTGGGGTTGGTTGATTTCCTGTAACTGATTGGTTTAATCGGCACTTTGGGAATGGGTGGCTCCCACCACACTGATAGCAAACATGAGGAAAACGGCAATGTTGTCAGCGACAAAATTTTCCAGGGTCATTGAAATCCCAGCAAAAACCAACTTTTAAGGTGTTTGCAGTTGGAGATTGTGAAGGCTGCTTGAAAGTGGTGAAACTGCAGTTCACAGGTTGAGGAGTGACATTCATGTATAACATCCACAATTCCGCGTTGATTGTGCCCCATGCCTTGTCTTTGGATCTACTTATACGCAGCCTAAACTGTTTATCATAATTTTGCCAACCCTGGCCCCTGCTGGCAGCCAATCTAATTGTGTGCAAATACTTAAGCATTTGCTGGTGGCTTTCGGGGAATTTCTCCAGGTATATGCTGACAAATATGATAAAGGCTGTTGTCCACTCTTCCACTGACTGTATGTCCTTCGACTGGCGTGACATTTCCAATTGACCCATTGAGTTTACTCTGATAGTGCTATCCATACTTTGCTCCTTATCCAATCCCTTAATGAGGGTAGCCAGATCTACATATTCCCCATTGTGTATTTTATCCCTTATTGGTTGGGGGGTGAAGGAACCAACATTGTCAGTTGACAAAGCAACCATTTTGTCACCACTGCATGCAATCCTAGCATTTATAGGCATGTTAAGCGTATCGTTGTCAATGGCAACAGATGCGAGAGCGTGTGTGTTGTGATTTACCGACTGTACTAGTAGGATAGTTGGGGTATCTAAGCCTATCACTACATGAGACCGTGCATCATTATTGAAAACATGAGGTAATACATCACCTGATCCATTCCTCGCGTCGACGGGCTGCGATGACCGGGGGACGGTAAATGACGCCATGTTGTCTGCATCGCCGGGCTGAGAACTTCGATTCGTTGGTTTGTTGACTCGAGCCGATTTCCGCGACGATCTCCGGTTGCTGGGTGATTGGATCTTCCGCTTCCTCGATCTCCGACCTGACATCGTTCTTCTCACCAACGTACGGTCAAGAAATTACACTAAGACAATAAATAATTTATTGGCTGCGTTTGGCTGCTTGCTGGTGTACGCAGAAAGAGGCTTGATGCAGTCACGTGCGTCACGTGATCAGTTTACGATTACCAACACACTGGTGTAAGGGAGGCAAATCCACTGAACTGTGGTAGGGTGCCTAACCTCCCACTTAAACAAATTTGTTTCATACTGGCTTTCACAAATTAGAATATATTAGGTCACTATGAACGACTGATGTTTAAGTCTTAACTTGGGGGAGGAGTTATTGACCATCTCGTGGAAGGTGAGGCCTATACATACTTAGGGATGCAGGTTAGGGACAAACTCCAGAATGCCCATATCAAGGAAAAATTTCGGGCCCAGAACAAATGTACTCAAAAGAAAATCTAGTGTTCAGAGCTGAACGCTCGCAATGAAGTCAAAGCCACAAATACTTATGCTGTACCCGTCCTTTCGTATTCTTTTGGTGTTGTTGATTAGACGAAACAAGAAGTTCAGTGTATTGACACTCTCACACGAAGAATCATCAGACAATAGATCAACCCACCCTCTCCCTTCCCTCAATCGCTTTAATTTACCAATTATAATGGGAGGGCGTGGTTTGATTAACGTGGAGGCTCTTCATGAAAGACGGAAAATGATAAATACAAAATTCTTTGGAATAGGCCCGTGTACAGCCTCAGAGGAGAACGCGTGAACGTGACAAAAAATGCTATGTACACAAATCACGAGAATGCAACAGGGACGTTCTCGCGATCTCGCCTTTTCGCACTTTTGGCATACATTCTTCAAAAAAAGAAACGCACAGGTAGATTTTTAGAAAATTTATTGTACCTAATAAAGTCGATATATTTAATTTAATATCATAGATACAAATCGCTCGATAGTCACATGTTGTCGTTGTACAAAGGCATTGAAAACTGTTCATTGACATGTCACATAAGGCAACAAGTTTGCGTTGAACTCAGTATCTCGTGTGACCGCCCCATGCAGCAATCACGGCTCTGCATCTCCTCGGCACTGACTGGATAAGTGTACGAATTCTGTCCTGCGGAATTCTGCGCCAGTCTGCTGTAACGCGTTGGCCAGTTGTGGGATTGTCTGCGGCGTGTTCTGACTTTGATGTACACGTCGATCGAGTTCATTCGAGAGGTGTTCGATGGGTTGAGATCTGGAGATGTCGACGGCCAGGGCAAGACGTTGATGTTGGCATTATTTAGTTAGTCTCCCGTGACACGATCTGTGTTCGGTGGAGCGTTTTCCTGTTGAAACAGCTCCCTCTGGTGGTCAATGATTAGAAGGAGGTGAGGTTGAAGAATTTGATTCGTGTAGCGATTTGCTGTTAAATTTCCCTGAACCACAGCCAAGTCAGATCTCGTGGTGTAGGATATGACCCCCCACACCATGACACTACCGCCACCGAAATTGTCGAAATCACGTACACAACTCTCATTTCGACGACGATAAACACGTTGTCTTCCATCTCGCCGGTGAAGAGGAAATCGTGATTCATCGCTGAACCACACTCCAGTTTCTCAAATTCCAAGGCTGTAAGTTTTGGCACTAACGCAAGCATCGCTGTCGATGGACCTGTTGCAAACCAGGGACGATAACTGGTCTTCTGGGTCGGATTCCAGCCTCGCGAAGATGGTTCCTGACAGTCTGGTCCGATATCCTCCTCAAACCAGGGATGCGTCCTGCAGTCTCCGTAGCTGTGGCATTGCGATAACGTAGGTGGAACAGTCGAATGTAGCGATCCTGTGCAGGGGTGGTAACTCTTGGTCGGCCAGTTTGAAGTTTGTTCTTGTTGCTCGATTCCTCAGTTTCTCCGCCCTTGTTTGACCTTTCGCAGTTTGTAAACAGTAATATAACCAGTGTAAAAAGTACATCTAATCAGCTGCACTCAGAAATATTCCAGCGACTTGACGACTGTCTGTAAATAATCGAGTCTGGACCAGACAATCCAGTGATTGACACCATGAGCATCGATCCACGCAATTGGAATACAATGACATGCATCAACCAAGTCAGCGAGCCTGACCACCGGATCCCGTTAGTCGCCCTTTACAAGCATGGGTTGCTGAAGACCTATTCTACCCCGGATCTTCACGGGTCAACTGCAGAGGTAGAAAGATTTGGGATGTCATGGTTACCAATGACATCACAATGGTCTGCAAAGCATTGTAACGCAATTTCATTGAAGTCATATATCCTTGGAGACTGGATCTCACACAGCGATATCTACTGTGGAAGATAAAGAGTTTTGGATTATTAAAGAGAATTTACTGTAAAACTTTAAAAAAATTATGAACGGGTTTCTGTAAGTAATGTTGAATCTTTTTTTCACTACAATATCCGACACTACAATACAGTTCATCGGGAAATAAGCCATCTCCACAGATGGAGGAGGCCATAATCGTTACTAAATTTCCGCTTATCCCGAACGTCTTTGCACCTGTTTTTGTTAAGTGCATATTGTACAGCAATAATCGACTCTAAATTCCACTATTTATAATATATGAAAACTTAACTCGAAAAATAAACCCAGTTGCAAATCCTGTGTATAAAAAAATATGAGTGAGAGAGAGAGAGATTATGTGTGTGTGTGCGTGCGTGCGTGTTTGTGTGCACGTGTGCTTGCGTGCGTGCGTGTGTCTTGTGTGTGATTATTAATTATTGTGATTATTTTACATGCGCTTCAAGAAATCGGAGATCGGTTATTGTTTTACTTCTCCTTTTTTTCGTCTGATAGAAACATACCATTAGAGATCGTATTCAAATATCATGTTTGTCTTTTAATAAAACATTAATAACTGCGTACTCGTTTGATCTTGGATTCATCATTGTGTACTGTCAGAATGGTAAAATGCTAGTCAGCAATGCATGCCTGAAAGGCGCTGGAAAGTCTGTCATTGGCTTTTCTGGTTTATCGATCACGTGATTGTCTGGTTAGTTTACAGGTGGGCGTCGCATGGCAGGAATACTACTGTGCGGCATCAGACGTTAGATACTTACTTGTTTATGCGAATTGTGAGAGTGGCGGGTGAGACATGCTTACCCTTCTCGCGTACACCTGGTCATAGCTGAGTTTCATTTCCCATAATTTTCAGAGCTATTTTGCCCTTTACGCTAAATGGATTATTTTTTGGTGGATAATCTAGTATGTTTATTTATTCTCTTGCATTGGCAATTAATATTTATATGTGTATGTATGCAGAGTAGTCTCCCTTTGGCCGTAACGCACATTTTGTTACCATGACAGACCTGCAAACATCATTCAAATCTCATCACGGGACTCGAAAATTTTATTGCCGCTACATTGGCGCCCAACATGGGTCTGAGTACGGTATTATCAAATTTGAGCAAAAAATGTCTCAGTACCCTAATGAACGGCCCGGAACGTGCCTTCTGTTGACGGGTATGTATGTAACAGGACGAAGAATCACCCCACAGCGGATATCTTTATTATCTCAGCTTGCTGAGGGGTTAACCTCTTTGGTCCGTGGTTCCAATCCCTTCGGAAAATGTATGGCTGCTACAATTACAATGTGATAACAAGATGCCATTATGATGTTGCAGGGAGTGGGAGAAGCCAATGGAATACAGCTGTAAGACAATAGTGCCAATGGGAAACTGGCATGTGTGTATGGACCATCCGTATACGATCAAGCCACCCTGTATTGTATATTCCTTTGGGTACGTATACACTTTCCTTTAGACCCTTCCTAGTGATACCATTAAAGGCTGATGTTCCCGTGTACATAACGGAACGTTCCAGGCGACTAACATACATTTCTGTAGATCACGCGCCAGGCTCAGGGACTTTAGTTATTCCCGAGAATACTGGTGGGTGGGGAGGTAATTGGGTTCTCTAACAAAATTTACAGCCACCAGTTTTTCGAAAATAAGTGTTTTGACGTCATACTATTGTTCTAAGTGTGTATTTGCCCCAGGTTTTACTAAATCTTGAACGACAAAAACGGCCGGTGCGTATGTGCATTACTGTTGAATTATTTATGTCAAAGAAATACCATGGAAACGTGTATTCATGATAATAATACACGAGGATTCAGTGTTTTTCGATGTCTTTCTGGTTGACATTAAAAAAGAAAACATTTGTGCATTACAGAATTTCCAATGACTGGACATTTGACGACGCAATCGGAAAGCATGGTTGTGAGGTCCATTGTTTTGATCCAAGGTATGTATGTTACACTGAGACAAAAACCTCGTGAACTCTACCTGCTTAATAGGGGTCACGGGTGGCCCAGTCGTCTTAGGCCCCGCGATTCGCTGTGCAGAGTATGATTGTGGGTTCGAATCCCGGTTCGCCCCGATTATGTTTCTAGGTTTGTCAGCACCATACCCGTGCTCGTGGGTTTCACCGAAGTGGTAAACGTCTGAGACCTGCATCACTTCGGACTTTCCTCCCACATTAAGCTGACACGCCGTCATATGACTGGAATACCCTTTTCGCAAACCGCAAAAAGCCGGAATAAAGAGTGTTAACAATTAAAGAGGTATTTCATTTATGGATATTTTTTTAAACTGATTCTGTTCAATTCTTAATGAAAGTCTTCAACTGGTTTCAAGTATATATGAGAAGATCCTGGAAGCTCAAGCAGGATTTAGAAAAGGTTACTATCCAGCTGACTATATTTTCACATTTAAGTGCTTAATTCAGAAATATTTAAGAAAGAGTGTTGGCCGATTTTATTGCGTCATTCATGGACAATTAGATAATGTGATGAAAAATATGTACTGTTAAGGTCCTGTCTGCTGTGAGAGCAACCATCACATCAATCGGGGATTACTTCGAATGTCTAAGTGGAGTCAGGCAAAGGTGTGTACGAAGCGACTAAGTCCCTTTCTCTTCACAATGTTTATGTCTGATTTTTTTATCTGAGCCGGTTTTGTAGAATAACTATTATTATTGTATGCAGATGATCTATGACCTCGGATTGGCAAAGTCAAAACAATATAATTTGGACAAGACGTTTAACTTAAGCTTCAGGTATATCGATGGTGTAATATCGTGCAATAACCATCAAATCGCCATTTCCCTTCCACTGATTTACCCACATGAACTAGCAATAAATGAGACCAGCGAGACAGGCTCATCTGTTTGATATTTAGATCTATGCATAAAGATTCAGAGTGACAAAATACTCTCCACAAGACTGTGTGACAAAAGCGATGCTTTCAACTTTCCCTTCATGTCGAGCAATATTCCTGCAGCTCCAGCCCTCAGTTTGGTGTCATTTCACAACTTTTGAGGTATAATCGAGTAAGCTCTTTCTACCAAGATATCAAAGAGCGCCATACGACTCTTGTTCAGAAGCTGTTTGATTTAGCTTACAACATTCAAGGCCCCAGTAAAGCTTTCAAAAAGTTTTATTGTAACGTTTCCAAATTTGACGCATCAGTGACAAAAATTATGTCCGAAGCAATTCCCTATTTTGACTTTTACCATATGTTCCCGTGGGTTTTTTCAGGTGAATAAATTCCTTGCCTTTGTATGTGTTTGTGACGGGTGCCACCGGTGAGACAGGATACGCTCACCTTTCCGCGAACACCTGGTACCATCACTTTTTGACAGTGATTCATAAACACATGCTCATGATATAGTCGGAATCGTACAAACGACTCTGCCTTTGGCAGATATTTCTTGTTTCTTATTTAAATAGGTTAGACGTTATCGGCGGTCCAAGCCTGGGGGGTAACTGCCCATTTCAACGATTAATCATCGGTACCGAATGGTCTTACCTTAAAATGCCACTGCAAATCATTACATGTTATCTTTCGCCTGTACTGTTATGTAATTTGTCATTTACTTCTCTTTTGTAAACTGTATTCCACATCTGTCAAGGGGGAGCACAGGATGACCCAAAAACGAGCATTTATGAAAGTGTAGAAAACTTAATTCAAGATTAGCAAACATCAATCACATTAAAATCAAATTATAGTTCTCGCTACCGCTAAACAAAGATCTGAGGACATCCCATTACGGGTTACGTCAGATCTAGACCGACCTTCCGCGAATTTTGACCGACCAATGGAATGACTGACAAGAAGTCGTCTTTCTGATTGGTCGGTTGAAAGGTCGTTCTGACGTGACCCGTTATGAGATGTCCTCAGATCTTTGTTTAGCGGCAGCGAGAACTAAGGTCTGATTTTAATGAGATCGAGTAAATATATTATTGCAGTTGGAAAACAAGGAGAAGACGATCCTTTGAAAGATGGATAGTAATCTCTACTAAGTGATCAGTAAATTGCACGAGTATACGATAGGCCACATATACTAGTCTTATCAGTAAATATTCAGTACATTCTCCGAGCATGTTAGTATCTAAGTGGACATATGATTTCACTTAGTAAGTATGTAAACTTAACAACATATTGTCAGTGTATATGTGTAAACCCACAAAGTGTACAAAGTTAGATCACAGAATAGACAAGCAATGTCGATTTACGTATCATTTTCTTCTCAAAGTAAACATCTGTTCTTATTACTGTTCTTTTCCTTCTTTGGGACCAGTCATTTATTGTGTGTGTGCGAGGGGGCGGGAATCAGAGGTTTTTTATGCGCTTTTGTACTGGAACTAATAACTAACTACCCTTCCCTGTGCTTCATTTTGGATTACCCTCCCAGAATGACAAAACGCAGAAGCACTTTATATTTTATAATAAAATGTCCATTTTACAAGACCCTATTTGTATTACCCTCCCCTAGAGACGGTTTTACTTTTGGTTACCGTCCCCTGATTCTCTATAGCAATAAATGACCCGTCCCTCATAGGTCGACTAGTGTAACGTGGGACAATGTCGTATATATTAAGATTGAGGGCGTTGGTTGAACGCCAGTTGGTAGTTCAGTCTTTTCAGTTATTTCAGATTTCACGGCTTGCCTCTTACACCCTATGGAATTTGTTTCGACGGATAATCGAGACTGGTTGTTCTCTGACGTTATATACGCCTTTTAACACGAGTGCTGATAAACCTAGATATATAATCAGGGGGAATCTAGTCATGTGACCACTACCTGACTGAACACTACATTTCTGCTCTTTAAACACTCCTCGGATGCCCTCTGAACACTCCCCGTCCTTTGCAAACTGCCTTTTGAATACCTGACCGTTCTTGAGGCACTCTTCTCTCCCCTGAACACACTTTTCCTGTCAGCTTATCACACAGGTATATCTCCTACGATTGCCATAGCAATATTTTTGGTTCGCTGACATGTGGCCATTCATAAGGGCCGACACAGATATCAGTTATACTCATCTTCATACGTTGGAGGTGGTGTAGTGGCCTAGTGGTTAAAACGTTCGCTCGTCGCGCCAAAGACCCGGGTTCGATTCCCAAAATGGATACAATGTGTGAAACCTATTTCTGGTGATATTACTGGATTAGTTGCGTAAAACCATACTCACTCACCCATACGTAGACAATGTCCGCCTTTCATGAACATCACCAGTGTGAATATATTATAATTGCAAGCATCCTCTCTCAGTATAGGAAAACAGGACTTTAACAGAAGCCAGAACGTCCATTTCCACAACCTCGGCATCGCAGGGTATGACAGTGACACATTTGAGGCACGAAAGGATGTCTACGTCCATCACAAACAAATATGGAAAATCAGACGCCTTAAGTCTGTCATGGAAATGCTTGGACATGCAAATGTAAGTCCCAATACAAATTACTTTATCAATGAAAATTAGGTGATTGATGGGTGCTACGCGCGGAGCAGGGCACGCTTACCCTTTCCGCGGACACCTGGTGTCATCACTGATTTCCACCGATCCATGGATATAATTGTCATCACCATTTTGCCTTGTGCGCTCAGTGGAATCTGGTTCGGAAGATTTTTGAGGCGTTGATGTTTTCAACTTCCTATCATAAAAATATTGTTGTCACGAAATAATACCCTTGACAATGGGGACTCTATTGACAACGTCATGTAAAAAACTTGTTTTACATCTCTTTTTTTCAAGTGAAGGGGTAGGTACATATACATGTTGATAGAGCCTTCGTTTCATTGTTATTCCATTTCACAAGCACTTTAAATTAACTTATACTATTTTCACAACTGTAATTAAAGAAAACAATGAAGAGCGAGTGAGTGAGTGAGTGAGTGAGTATGGTTTTACGCCGCTTTTAGCAATATTCCAGCAATATCACGGCCGGGGACACCAGAAATGGGCTTCACACATTGTACCCATTTCGGGAATCGAACCCGGGTCTTGGGCGTGACGAGCGAACGCTTTAACCACCAGGCTACCCGACCGCCCCTAAAACAATGAAGAGAGAGTGAGTGAGTGAGTATGGTTTTACGCCGCTTTTAGCAATATTCCAGCAATATCACGGCGGGGAACACCAGAAATGGGCTTCACACATTGTACCCATGTGGGGAATCGAACCCGGGTCTTCAGCGTGACGAGCGAACGCTTTAACCACTAGGCTACCCGACCGCCCCAAAACAATGAAGAAGAGAGAACACTTATGTTATACGTTATTAATATTAGTCAGGAAGTAGTTGCATGAAAAAGTTCAACTTCGCAATGGAAAATAACTCTAAGAAACAGAATATGTCTTTCCAAAAAAAACCTTGTATTTCCTTTAGCCAACATCTTAATCGAAAACTCTTCAGGATTTATTGATATAACATTTTTTTCACCTTGTGCAAAAGAAACTTTTAATAGCTTTAAACCAGTGGAGAAAAATGCTAAATCGCAAAACGTTTATGATTAATTAATGTAAAAGTTTTGTCAACCTTGAATTACGTTATTTCTAGAAAACCATCGATGTTCTCAAGATTGACATTGAAACAAGCGAGTGGCCAACGGCGAAGGATTTAGTGGGGTCGGGTGTGCTCTACAAGGTCTGACAATTCCTGATAGAATGGCACCTGTTCTTTGACTATCCCAGCACGGACAAATATCTTGAGTTGTACAATACTTACATGGCTGTGATGGACCAAGGATTCTCCACTTTCAAAGTGGATTTTCATCACAACACCATAAAGAAAAATAACCTGCTGTTTCAAGCTGACGTGGATTACGTCAACACGGCGTATAAAGGGAAGTAATTCTTACCGGGCCAAGAAATGGACATCACTCTTTGCAGCTACCTACACTTTGGTATGAAGTCGGGCAATTGTGCCTACTCTGTATCTTAAAGAAAATATTTTGTACTGACGGAAACGCTCGGAAACTGCTTTTTGCCCATTAAAACAAGATAGAATATTTGACAGACTGTTGTTATTGAAATATCGAGTAACTACCGATCTAATTTGAACGAAAGTTCAGATGTTTTCTAAGTCCAATGATGGAAGCCTGAATCTTAATATAGGAATATGCGCGTGTGAGTCAGTTAGTAAGTGAGTGAGTGACTATGGTTTTACGCCGCTTTTAGCAATTTTCCAGCAATATCACGGCGGGGGACACCAGAAATGGGCTTCACACATTGTACCCATGTCGGTTCTTCGGCGTGACGAGCGAACGCTTTAACCACTAGGCTACCCGACCGCACCATTAGTAGTAGTAGTAGTAGTAGTATAAACAATAATAATAATGTAATATTCATGAAGAATCTTATCCACAAAATATTCGTCTCCTCTCTGAAAGTGCATCTAGAAAATAACAACTTGACGCTGCAATTGACGTTCCCATAATGCATGATGCATTACACGTGCAAAGCCATGGCACACGACATGGAGTCTGCAGTTGGACATGTATAGTTTTTTACACTTCAGATAGATAAAGGGAAATCATTTATTAGTTTAGATAGGGCGTATTTCCGAACTGTCCAAGCTCTGGGGCTTTCATACCAACAGGTCTTCGCCAGGATAAGTAAAACAAAGAAGGTAGGGGTGGTGTCAAAAACAAAACCGGGACGTAAACGGACATTAGACAGCTTTGATACAGGGGTGATTAGGCGTACAGTGTACACGCTTTATGAGCAGAAGGTACACCCATTTTGTAGTAGAATTCGACAAGAAATTAAAGACATAATTAATGTTTCCTGGACTATATTAAGTATTGCTCTCCATGAGATGGGATGTAGATACAGTGCGCGTGGCGATGACCGAGCAGTTTTCAGGGGGAAATATTCCACCCTCTCTGTGAGGTCACATTATCATGACAATCGCAGTCAGGGCTTCCAGATCATTTACCTTGATGAAGAAAAATAATTCCACTGACTACATGTGGATACCGTCAGATGGACCAAAAGCACCCGTGGTTCCATCAGGTAAAAGTAATCGTGCCATTGTGTTGCACGTCGGAATCTGGGGCTTAGTGATGAATGTGAGCTAGTTTTCGAGGCGAATTAGAAAACTGGTGATTACCATAAGGAACTGAATGGTGATGTGTTCATAGACTGGTTGGAACATCGCAACTGGTCAATCAAAACAACGTTAGTTGCTTTGTCATGAAGCACGCCAGTTATCATAACGTCCGTAAACCAGATACTGTCGAGCCAACCATGAGTAGTCTAAAGACGACCATGCATTAATATCTGACATCTTGCAATGTCAACTTCAGACAATCTGAATTGAAAGTTCCCCAACTAAGGTGACACGTGCACCTGTGAAAATGAACGGCCGTTGTGAGGTCATCACCTCGGGACAGGTGTCAGGTAATTGCCTCAGGCAAAACGTCGTTTCATACATACATTATACACACACGAACATTTTCTAAGTTTATTATCATTTCACCTGAAAAGGTACCTTTTAAGGCATATCACAGTGCCAGTTAGGATAGGCCAGGTTAGGTAGATTTGCGTTATTTTGATATATGCTGTTTTCCTACCCATAGGATTCGCATTTATTAAATGAAGCCAGGAAAAGCATTTATCTAGCATTTTGTACAGTACTCTTTTAAGCTATAGTCCAGGTTTGAAGATAGCTACCAATGCACATCGTAAAAGGCGACTATGCTTGTCGTAAGAGGCGACTAACGGGATCGGGTGGTGGGACTCGCTGACTTGGTTTATGCATGTCATCGCATCCCAGTTGCGTGGATCGATGCTTATGATGTCAATCACTGGATTGTCTGGTCCGTACTCGAATATTTACAGACCGCCGTCATATAGCTGGAATAGCTGAGTGCGGCGTTTAATATCAAACAATCAATCAACCAATGCAAATACGTTAGAAGCAACAAGCCAACCTGTTAGAGATTTTTGAGGCGCTTCCAGTTATTGCGAAAAAAAATCGATAAAATCTATGAATTACTTGAGGGAATTGTAATCGAAATGTTCAGTTATTGAAATATGGACATAAATTACGCCGTGCTCTCAAAACAAGCGGAGCCAAACAAACTTAGTTTTACACAACACACCAGTTGTTATTTTTTTGGTCAGACCCGAGAAAAGGTTATATTTATCCAGCATCATCCAAGCTCTGTCAGGATCTTCTGCTGGCGGGTTCGAATTCACTTTGATTAAGATCACTGGTCTGTTGGCACTGTGTCCACTTACTTACTTACTTACTTTGGAGATTTAACGTGCGCTTTCCGACTGATGCGTATTTCGCACACGGGCCCGGCCAGGCCATTTAATGTGTTTCCGAAAGGGGCGAAAGTGGTGTGTGCAACCCAAGAGGGGGCTTTAGGGGTTGCTTATATAGAATTTGGGAATTTTGAGATTTGGAATAGATGCCGATGGGGTAGGGGAGGAGAACTAAGGGAGCTGGGTATGGTGGATGTTTGTGTGTTTCTGTAATTTTGATTTGGTAGATTATAGTGTTTTTAGATTCGTTTTATTAGTTCCGTTTTGATTAAGAGTACGCCTAAGGCCTTGAAGTTTTCTAGCTTATTTTGTGGGTTTAGTATTGCTTCTAGAGTGAGAGCCTTGTTTAGATTGAGGGTGGTTTGTAATGCGGTTCGATGTGTTAGGTAGTGTGTGCAGTGGATGAGTGCGTGTTCTGGGGTTTCTAGTTGTCTGCAGTGTGGGCAGTTACCTGTAGTATTTTGTTTATATTTTTTTAGGTGGTTATTTAGGTTGGTGTGTCCTGTTTGGAGTTTAGTGATTACTTTTTTTGATGGATGGAGATTTTTTGGTTTGGTTAGTGGTTTGCTGAGTACTTTTTTGATTTGGCTATTTGAGTTTAGATATAGGTTATGCCATTTTTTGGTGATTTTTTGCTTATTAACGCATTTAATTTCTGATTTTGAGATGGGTAAATTTAAGCTTATTTCTGGGATTTTGAGGGATAGTTTAGCTGCCTTATCGGCGTTTTCGTTACCGTATGTTCCTACTTAGGGAGTCGGTAAGTATTAGGATTTTATTGTGTTTTTGGGATTCTTGACTATGGAGGGCTGAGGCCATGCCCATTAGTTCTGCCGTGAATATTGATTGGTTGTTTGGGAGTCGGAAGGATTGTGTGGTTTTAGTTGGTTGTGTGGTATGGACTCCGAAACCTGTGTGTTTGGAGGTCGGATCTGAAGATCCGTCCGTGTAAATGTGACACCAATTTGGCCAACTTTGGTGTATGTATGCTAGTGTGGTGGTTTTAGCTATGTTTGGGTCAGTTTGTTTATTTATTTGGCTAGCTAGTGTTGTGTCTATTTTGGATATTTTCAGTTTAGGGGTGAAGATATTTGATTGTTTGCAGTTTTGTTTAAGATTTTTAATTTGGTGTTCATTTAGGTAGTTTGTTATTCTTTGGGATATTGGGGTAAGTAAGGGGTGTTTACGAGCTAGAGCTTGGTTTTTGGGGCTGATATTTTGGTTTATTAAGTTTTGGATGAGAGGGTTTGATTGGGACGCGGACCAGAAATTTAAGCTTAGCTGTTCCCTGCGTAGACTTAGTGGCATTTCTCCTGTTAAGGCCTGAAGTGAAGTGTAGGAGGTGCCATGTTGGGTGCGTGTCGTTAGTTTGAGAGCCTGATATTGTATTGAGTCAATTTTTTTAGATAGAGAGTTGTTTAGGGTGTTGTATATGGCGCAGCCGTAGTCTAGTTTTGATCTAATTAGTGATATGTAGAGAGAGAGGAGGGTATCTTTGGAGGCTCCCCAGTTTGAGCCAATTAGGCATCTTAGGGTGTTTAGGTCTTTACTGCATTTAGTTGTTAGGTTTTGAATGTAAGCATCCCAGGTGAGATGTTCATCGAAAATAAGTCCTAAGAATTTGGTTTGTTTTTGAAATTTGATTGTTCGGTTGTTTAGCTGGAGGATTGGGGAGGCGGGTTTCATATTTTTATGTTTGAATACAATTCCTGTTGTTTTTTCTGAGTTAAGGGAGAAGCCCCATTTGTCAGCCCATTGTTGTATTTTATTAAGAGATTTTTGGAGTCAATTTTGGGCCATTTCAATGCTTTTAGTGTGGATCCAGAGGGCTCCATCATCCGCGAAGTTGGATGTGTTTATTTTAGGGGATAGGCCCTCGAAGAGATCGTTTATCATTATAGTAAAGAGTGTGGGGCTGAGGATACTGCCCTGGGGAGTGCCATTTTCTAGGGGACACTGGTCCGATAGAGTATGGTCTATCCCCACTGTTATTTTACGTTCGTTTAGAAAGTCCTGAATGTAGTTTATTACTTGTCCTTTTAGTCCTATTTTTTTAAGTTTTTGTATTAGCCCGTTGTGCCAAACCATGTCGAATGCTTTGGAGAAATCCAGAAAGATGCCTGTTGTGTATTGTTTGTTGAGTTGTCCTGTCTTGATGTCCTGTTCTAGTCGGGCGAGATTATCTAAGGTTGAGCGACCAGGGGTGAAACCGCTTTGATCTGTGTTTATGATGTTATTTTGAGTTAAGTAGTGTTGTAGTCTATTTTTGGCCATAGATTCCATTACTTTACATAGGTTTGAGGTTAGGGATATTGGTCTATAAGAATTTGCCTGGTTAGTTGGTTTATCGGGTTTAGGGATAGGGATGACTAGTGCCTGTTTCCAGGGAGTTGGTACCTGTCCGTTTTGATAGATTAGGTTATATAGTTTAAGTAGTGCCTGGAATAGGTTGCCGGGGAGTTTTTTGATTATTTGGTAGGATGTTATGTCTAGTCCTGGGGCAGTTCCCTTTTTCCTATTTTGGAGTACGTACTGGAGTTCTTCCATTGAGTAAGGTTGGTTTATTTCGAGGTTATCATTATTTGGTTCTTTAGTAGGTTTGGCTTCTGCTTTAAGTTTTTGTTGGAATTTTTCGCTGAAGTTATTGTTGCTGCTTATGGCCGAGAAGCGGTTTGCTAGGTTATTTGCCTTTTCGGTAGGGTTGGTTGAATTGTTTATGTTGGGTGTTTTTTTTGTG